TAGATAGATGGATAGATAGATAGATAGATAGATAGATGAGAACACCTTAGCAATTACCTTAAAAAAAGTGCTAATTCAGTGCTAACTTATTCTCACCGGTGATATTGTAGGAGTAGTGAAAGCAGTTACTGTTCAGTTTACACGGCTCCATCTCCTTAGTATGTGGGCATTCCTTTCCTTCCCCAGGTTGGCGCAGTGGGAAAGCGCTCCTTTCCCTGGTGCTATTCCCGCCACACGGCTGAGAAGCAAAGAAAAACGCGTACAATGTTAGCTCCACTCTCAATTAGCAAATATATTAAATATTATATTTCTGAAAAAAAAAAAAAAGAAAATCACCAGTGCACATGGGCTCCAGGCTTCCCAGTCTGACAACACACAGTCCTCAGGGCAGGGCAGCCGGCTATTACGGGCCCCCAGGGGCATTTCCTCTGGGTCGCACAGATAGTCCTCTACTTGCTCAGAGGGTCCGTCGATAGTGTTTAGCATACACCTGGATGTATACACACGGTTCCAGGTCACAGTGTAATCCTGGTAAGTAATTAATCTCGGCTAACAGTGGCTGAAAATCTCTCAGGACAGTAGCGGAAGCAGGAACAGTGACAAACATCAGCTTAGCAATCATCAATCTGTTCAGGATGTTTAACCAGCGGCTAATGTCAACACCAGCAAGGCCTTCTCTGCTGACCTGAACGGTATCAGAATTCGTGAGCTATTTTTTTTATACATTTATCATTAATATTTATAAATCCACATTATGAATATGAATCCACATTTTTTTAAAGCCAAAACCTGTCTTTTAGTTTATTTTTTACTATATTTTTCGCGATTATAGCGAAGATTTCGCAAGATCAAATTAAAAAACATTTCCAATGTACTGAGAGACAGAAAAAGAGATCCACGATATAGAAAGGGACCGCTGTATTCAAATTTTTCTATCCAATCATATTTCGTCCATCTTGGTTGCCTGGGTAAGAAAAAAAAATCTTAAATGAATGGCAATAAAATTCTTTCTTAAACCAGATCAGAGTTGGTGACACCAAGGCCAAGGTGAGTTTTTTGGTGAGTAAAATGCATTTTTAACATGATTAGCATTTGATTTTGATTTTTTTTTTATGTACAGCATGGCACAGCTGTGGGTTCCCAAAATCAGGTCCTGGGACCGTGATATGAAAAAGGTTGCTAATCTAGGATATAACGACAAGTGTATACTACAATTTTGCTTAATATTGAAGGTTTCCGTAGCCAAAATGATGTCATGAAGATGTGGATCAATTCAGGCAGGACGTCACTGAAGGCCTAGGTCAGGGGTGGGCAAACTTTTTGACTCGCAGGCCACAATTGTCCTAAAATTGACCACAATTGTGTGACCGGGTCAGGAGCAGATAGATGGAGAATCATGCATAAATGCTAATCATTTTCTATGCCATCTATTGGGGAAACATGGGTATTGCGGGAAAAAGGCAGAAGTATAATGATAATACAAATAAATTATATAATTTGGAAAAGTTTGGCGGGCCGGATTAAAAAGCTAAACGGGCCGCATCCGGCCCCCAGGCCTCAGTTTACCCATGCCTGGCCTAGGTGCTAAATGCAGGACACGTCATTTAATTTAACAAAGTCTCAGTGATAGCAAAGGTCCACCATCAGCGCCAATGACATTCGATTTTGGATGAACAATGTAGAAGTGAAAAGCAGCTAGTCATGAGTTCTCAACAAAGGCACATGGAAATTAACACGTCATTTAATTTAACAAAGTCTCAATGATTTCAGTTCCCAGCAATGCAGCTCAATAAGCAGTAGAGTAAGGACGCTTAAATATGTAGCTGGCTGAAGAGTGTGTGGCCGATGTAACGCGAGACGTTTCCTTTCTTTTCACAGCCTTAATGTGTGATTCATATCCTCTCACCTGACTTTCCGGGTCTGAACGCCTTCACCGCAGTTGTTATTTACATCTACGTTGCTCACTTTCCAGACACTCCAGGGCTCCGCTACCCAGACGTATTGACCGCAATTACTGAGACACGGCACAACCTCATAAACCTGGAACACATTTTAACATTTTGTTTCACGCCTCGTCCGGACCCTTGGTATCGGAAACGTGAAACTGCACATATCAGGCACTACAAACGGGTTAATAAATCACTGTACTCAAATTTGACGAATTCGTTCTGTATATATTGGATTTACCTGAGCCTGTGAAGACAATCCGTGTAAAAGGGAGAGAGAAAAAAAACACAACAGGTCAAGGGTTATTGGAGGAACGGTAATTGATTAAGTATCTCTTACAGGGATGTCCGATATTGACTTTCGACCGTTTTCCGATGTGCCGATATTGTCCAAACACTTGATTTCCGATTCCGATATCAACCGATACCGATATATATAGTCGGTTGGTTTAACGATTCTTACCGATATTACATAATTATGCTAATATCAGCCGATATCGGTTGGCCGATATTATCGGACATCCCTAATCTTTTTACTTTGCAGCGTAGCTGCATATAAGTAAGCATAACTATTCAACAAATATTAGCACCAAAAAAATACATATTCTTTTAAAATGTACATCATATTCAAATACTAGCATTATTGTACATTTTATGATGTCAGTAAAAGCCAATACAAGAAACAAGGCAAAATTTTGATTCGAAACCATTTTACGAAGAATAGACACAGATTTAAAACCGTAGAATTTGTAGAGCAGTGACGTGACATTTTAAATTGAAAATTAAATTATTTAGATATAAATGTTCTGAAATTGTCATGTATAGATCGGTATAAAGTAGGAAACATGTTAAAAAACATATACACTGTGTCAGATATTGTGTAATGATATTTGAAAAAAAATCCCAAGTTATGTCTAATTTCTTTTGACAGTATATAACATTCAGTATAACACCTTATATTTGAAATAATATTGGATATAGTTTTCCACACATACACATGCAGTTAGGACAGTTGCTCGGTTTTATCGGCACAGCATAAAAAAAGAACTAATTCTGACCTGGTTGACATGGTCTAGTTTAGGACAAGGTCTCCCACCGTTATACGGCTTTTCCCTGAGCCACTTAGAGCGAACTTTGACCCCACTGCCGCAGGATTTGCTACAACGTGACCAGTTGGACCACTCACTGAGCTTGCAGTCAGATGGACAGGGGATGATGCAAGCCTCCTCAATGTATCCTGCATTGAACGGAAAGAAAAATCTATTGTCAAAGTGGGACCGAGAAATATGTAGAAAAGCACGGTTTAATGATCATGAAATAAAACAAGGAGTCTGTTAATAAACCTTTAGGTCCTCCTAGCAATTAGCATAGCACAACATTTTTAGGTCCTCCTAGCAATTAGCATAGCACAAAATATTCGATAACATTTCTTCAGACATTTGGAGAGAACCCTGCTACGATGTTCCCTTTTTTTGAAATAGCTAATAGCTTATCGATAAAAAAAAAATTTAAAATTATTTTATATTATAAGTCAATTATTTAAATAAAAAAATTAGTCAGGTATACCACACAAATTTAAGTTAAGCATGTGGGCTTAGGTATCGGATCGGATGGGCTAAAGTTGTTTTTGTGTGGATGTTTGAGTCTGAATTCTTGACCGATATTGGATCATTAACAGTCCTGAGTAAGCGGATCGAGCCATTCCTCTTAAATTGATTTTCACCCTTTTTTTTCATGCTGTGGCTTGGTTTGCGACTTATACTCAGGTGCGACTTATATATTGAAATATATAATTTACGTGTTTGAGAAAATTTACATGTTCATTATTTTCATAGTGATAGCCACTAGAGGGCACTCTAGCCTTATGTACCAGTATTTGCTACTTCTGTACCACTGAAAATGTATGTTTGTTATTTTCACACTGACAGCCACTAGAGGGCACTCTAGGCCCGTGTACCAGTATCTGCTACTCCTGTACCACTGAATATTTACATGTTCATTATTTTCACACTGACAGCCGCTAGAGGGCACTCTAACTGGCTGGGGCGACTTATACTCCGGAGCGACTTATAGTAAAAATATGGTAAACATGATTCACTCATAGAAGGTGGACAGCATGTATGATTGACAGTATGTTTTCCTTAAGCTCAGAAGTAGACAACGGGATTGACGAAAAATTATTTTTTGGCCCTACATGACCAAGACCAAACTCAAAGATCATGATTGGCCCTATTGTAAAGCCCATAACATTGAAGTGCTTGCAAATCTCACCGTGGCTGTTACAGCGCGAAGTCTCTACTATGCGGTTGTCCTGGTCATAACAAGCCATGGCCTGGTAACGATAACCTTGGCCACATTCTTTGATGTCTCCCTGGATCTTCATTCCAAGCTGACCCTCCATACGGCCGCCCTCAGGTAGAATACAATCCGACCAGTTTCCCACCGGCTGAGCATTATACTTGTTGCACGGGCAGTACTGGGTCTCACTCAGGGAGTAGAGTTGGTGATTCTTGCACTGATCACGCTTTTTGCTTTTCCCTTAGAAAAAAAAGCAAAAATAAATCATGATTATTATTATCTTATAGAGAGTTTTTTTTTTTTTTTTTTTGCCTGGACAACACATCACGTAATCCTGATACAGAAGACAGTGGAAGACACTGCATAGCAGACACATGCTTTCTCAATGTGATTCATTCGAATTAAGGTACTAATGATAACATGAATGATAACAAACCTCCGGTCACTAGGTGGCAGCAGCACACACAGTGGTTTGTGTGAAAGTTACAATTATAAAATTCATACCTAATAAATATATATTTTACATGTACTCATTTAAATTTTACCCTCAAAGGTAGAGAATACAATCAGCTTGCGGGTCCGTCACTCACCTAACAGCATCCTCTTGCGAATCCTGACTCCGACGCAGTCCGCAGTGCAGGAGGAGAACTTAGACCACATACTCAGCTGACAGTCCTCCTGGCAGGGCACGTGGCAGTGTTGAATTAGAGGTGGCATCGGGCTGGCAAACTTAAGACAATCTTCAACCTCCACTTGTCCGCCGTCCAGCTTCCGACATGAAACGGCTGCATGTACATTGAACAAGTTAGTCAAATGCGATGTTCCGCTGTTTGAGGATTTCATGTTGTACGTCAGTTTGTTTGGCTCAGTGTTTTAGGGCAAAATGACATGACCTAAAAACTCTGAATTAGATGGATGGATGGATGGATGGATGGATGGATGGAT